GAAGACCTCAGTAGAAAGTGGAGACTACTGGAGTAGGCAAGGATGGAGGGGGACAAGGGATCAAAAACTAACTATCGGGTACTGTGCTCAGTACCTGTGTGATGGGATCATTCAGGCCCCAAACCTTCGCATCATACAATATGCCCAGGTGGCAAACCTGCACATGTACTCCCCAAATCCAAAATAAAAATTGAAAACTAACAAACAAGTAAACCCCTTGGAGGAAAGCTTTACAGCTTTCTGTTCTTATAAACTGACTCTCTCTTTAAGCAAAATCTTCGAGCCACTCTTCCAGGTAAGGGGCAGAAATGATAGCCTCTGGTCTTCTTAGTTTACCTTTCTGAGCATGGAACCTCTGCCGTATATGTGAGCAGCCGAGGGAAGTCAAGGTCCCAATATTTTTGTCCTGACCCAGCTAGGATAAACTTTCTACTCTATGAATGGGGTCTGGATAGAAGAAGGGAGCCCCTGACCTCTCAGCCACACTCACCAGGAATTGAACCTCTAAAATTTAGATTTAGAGGAAACGGGAAATGCTGGCCTCCTTCTTTCGATGAGATCCCATGTTGCTTGGTTGAGATTTGAGGAGAAGGGGAGCCCCCTTCCTCTTGGACACACCCAACCAAAGTGGAGCTTCTATGGAGATGAGTTGCAGGAGAAGGAGGGGCCCAAGGGCAGCCATGGCCCAAGTGCTACAGAATCTCTGTTCTTACCAAGTTTTAGTGTCTGTTTTTGGAATAAATATTTTTTCATTAAATGCTGTTAGGACACTTTGCAAAGACGTTGATGGTTGGTTTTGTTGGTATTGTTTTTGGTTTTTGATTGTATGTGGTTTTTTGATTGTTTGTTTATAATTTTCAACACTTAAGTTTTTTGGCTGGGGCTTGGACCTGTGGAGCTCCTCACACTGCCATTATGGGAGTAAAATTCATAGAATTATTTTTTGAAAAGAGTGTGCCAAAGAAAACTCCTGTTTTCACGACATAGAGTTTCAGTTTCCTTAAGGTAAATGGGGATAGTAATTCACACCACGCTGCCTAGGACATGGGAGCCCTGAATAATGGTCAGTTTATTCTTTCCCTCCTCTTGTCTCACTTTTGGGACTTAAAGACATTCTAGTTGAATGAAGGTTCCTGCCTAATTAGTGTGTTTTTATGCTTTGAGAATGTTAAAACTCCATAATAGTATTTTAGGTAAAGAGAGTAATATATTTAAACAGTATTACAGAATGATCTTCAGACCTGAACAAGGATTCTTTTGGAGGTTTGACTCATGAGAAAATGCTTCAGCAAAACCACAAACAAACAACAATACTCAGGGTCTCTTTTTTCCTTCTTTCTTCTCTTTTATACCTGCCTCTACCCTATCCTCTCCTAGCTCATTTCCTCCATATTATAACATTTTGTCAACATGTAAAAATTATTGAATAATAATTGAAGAATTGAACAACTAAAAGAATAAAACTCAGGCAGTCTGTATAAATTTTGTAAAGCAGTTCATAACCAGTATTTTCTCTGAGTTGTGTTCTTATATGGCAGTCTGAACCTTGAAATAATATTTCCACCACGTATATACTCTCTTTTCTAATATATAATTTTTATTTTTATTGATCTAAGGGGTACAAGTACAGATTTGTTACATGGATATATACATAGTGGTGAGGTCTGGGCTTTTAGTGTACCCACCACTCAAAGAGTGTACACTCGGCCCACTATGTAACCTCCTGTCCCTCACCCTTCTCCCACCCTCCCCCTTTCTGAGTCTACAATGCCTATTAGTCCAATCTCTATGTCTGTGCACACACACACTCTTTCTCTCCTCTCCCTCTTTCCTTCTCTCTCTATTAAGAAATGAGAATCTCAAGAAAGCCATTCCAATATCACTTATTCATTTAGTTATTCATGCATTTATTTACAAAGTTGATTTAATAAGTAGGATGTGTATGGTGCTCTGCCAGGCATTTGGCCCTGGTTTGCATTTTAAGAGATGATGAAACAGATTTGAAGAGCTGGCCAATCAGCATATGCCTTGCCAAGCCAAAAAGTTATTGTCATGTTTGCTCAATTTCCATGTAGCATATTCAACTAATTATAATTTAAAATGTCCAGGAGGAGCACTGTGGCTGTGATCCTAGGAGAAGCAATAATTGAGATTTTTCCTATTCTTCCACCTTGTAACAGCTTTAGAGCTGGCCAGGGACAAATACTATGTTGTTTCCAGCTTCTCCTACAGGTAATGTTGAGCAACTGAAATCTATTAAAATTGATTCATAAACTACTGCACACTCTTTGATCTTCCTTAAAAATCCAGGACCAATCAGCAACAATATATAATCAAGTACAATATAGTCTACCCAGGGCTGCTTATTCAAAAAGAGGATGAGGTGATGAGCTAAAAGCCAGACCTGAAAATTCTGTTTAAAACACAAGTTACCTTCTTTTAAATAAATAATTTAGAAACTTGGGATAGAGTTAAGACATTTTTTTTAATTTGAAAATAGAAGAATTTTTTGTACTTTGGATTGTGAAATTACATTATTTTGTTTAGCCAGCTATGTACTGAATCTTCACTATGTGCAATATTAGCAAAGCATATTCCCTGCTTTCAAGAAATAAGTTAGACACAAATTACTAAAATTGAAGGCAGAAAATATCTGTTACAATAGAGGGTTTAAAAATGTCATTTAAGACAGAGAAGAAAGAGATTTATTCCTGTTAGAGAAGATTAGAAGAGATTTCATAAAGGAAATAGCATCTAATTCAAAGCCAACAAATCGACAGAAATGTGGGGACATAATAAAACCAACCAAAGCACATTACGGGCTGCCTTTAGATACCAGTAAGTAATCCTGCCTGGCTAGAGCAGTAGAAAAGGGGAAATCAAGTTAGATGATCTGCAGTCAATCATGAAGACCCCAAAATGCCATCAGAGGAGTTGGGAGTTGATTTTGAAGATAACAGAAAAGTACAGAAGGGTTTTGAAACAGGGAGTAGTAATCAAAACTGTGTCTTAAAGGGATTATTCTAACACCATGCATAAAATTGATTTTTTAAATATTAGAGGTAGAAAGACCAATACAGAAGTCATTCTTCCACTAGACTAGGTGGGCCAGAACTACGAGAACAAAATCAATGTAGGCAGCAGTTCTGTAAATATGAAATAGGAAATAGAATAATGGGAATGGATCACACTGGGAAGAGGGATGATAGAACTTGGGGACTGATGTCAGCAGTTAAAGAGGAGCAGAAGATGTTTTGAGGTTTAATGTCTGTGTGCCACGGAAGTTGACAATGCCCTTAAAAAGAGAAAGGAAGCAGAGAAAGATGAAATTTGAGAAAAGAAGAAAAGCGATGTTTCATTTAGTCAATAAATTCGTATTAGGCACTTACTATGTGCCAGGTGGCTGCTTTGGGGGGATGAGAGAGTTATCTTTAAATTTTAAAGCTCTTTATGGAAGAGGCACTGTTCCAATCCGTGCTTCTCCAAAGGCAGAGCTGGAGCAGTGAGTAGAAGCAAGGTAGGAAGTGAGATATCTTTCTAATACATTAAGACTTCGTGAGAAGTAGTAAGAGCTCTGTTACAGGCAGTATTCAAGTAGAAGATGGAAGATATTCTTCTAGGAACATTGTAGCCAAGGATGCCTACGTTAGGAAAGAGGTTAGACTAACCTTTCTGCAAGCTTTAGAGTCTATTTTTCTGATGATCTAGTCCTGTGGGTTCTATTCTTAATCCCTGGTTTCTCACAATTATTAAATAAATTACTCAGTCTATCTGCCATTCAGTAAAACTCACACATTAACATCTGTTATTTTTGAATTATTTGGATTAGGACTCATCTTCTTTATTTAAAAAAAAATTCTACACAGTTAATGTTACCTTTATAGCTAATTTACAATGGTAACCCCGGTAGATTGGGTTATAAAAATCAGAGGGGAAAAGGATTTCTTGTGCCTAATAATACTTTTGTTTGGAAGAAGCCATGCAAACAAGAAATAAATTATCCTGACTTCAAGATTGCAATGCAGTTTGTTGCAGTATTTCAAAAAGGAAAATATATATATATATATATCTCAGAGAGGCTCATTTTGCGATAGCACGGTAAAGAAACAGAATACTTACTCTCCAAACACTGCAAAGCTTTAGATCAGAAGCATTTATCTGTGCTGCATTTAAAAAAAAGAAGAAAAGGCAGGAAAGAAAGGAAAAGGAGAAAGGGAACCTGTCGTGAGCTCTGTTATAAGCTATAGTTCAAGCTTCGCATTTCCTGGTTCTTTTGAAACGTAAAATTCCACAACAAATAGCTCTGTAACGTATAACCAGTATGAAGATTCAATTCAGATTTAAGTACTTTGGTTTGCTTTTGAATCTTGCTATTTTCTGCATTTGTTTTGACTGCTCTCATCATTCAAGATTGACGCTTGGATGGGTGTGTAGGAGGAAGCAGCAGCAGCAGGCTTACAGCTTGCAGACAAAAAAAATCTGCCTTATCTGATGGCTATTATTGAAAATGCGAGGTGTAGCCTGGGCTGGGTAATGAAGGGGAGCGAGCGAGGGGGAGCAAGGAGCATGGAGCTGCATACTGATGAGTGTAGGAGTACTTGATAAAAAAGAATTCTGGCTGCCGGCCGTGCATTGCTCATTGTGGAGTACTCCAACAATCACATAGAACGCAGACCAGCCCAAGCTGACAGCTTGATATGCCTTCTTCTGCTGCCTGGTTTTGGGGGCTGTATGACGTACTGGTCGGTAGTAAAGATTAATATGTAAGAAATGTGGAGCTAGGATCAAGTCATACTCCACAGCCTGCCTGGCAAACTATGTTTTACTTCTGACTTTGCTCTCTCGCTGAGAACATTAATCTGTCAAGCTGGCGGGCTCCTTTGATAGCAACTTTCCCAGGGGCATGATGTGGCAATGCCACCTCTCAGCCCAGGACTACCGCTATTACCCCGTGGACGGCTACTCCCTGCTTAAACGCTTCCCTCTTCATCCTCTTACAGGACCCAGATGCCCTGTCCAAACAGTGGGACAATGGTTGGAAAGCATTGGGCTACCTCAGTACGAGAACCACCTGATGGCTAATGGATTTGACAATGTGCAGTTTATGGTAAGACGCTCTCTGTGTCCACAGAGCTGCCTTTTGTCTGTCTTTGATTCTTATGTGTCTTACATGGCTCAGAGGCAGCCTGATTTGCACCAAAATCGGTCAGATTTATATATGTAACTGCATCGGAAAATTGAATGCCCTTAAGACTGAACTTACTGTGTACAGATAGACTCTTGATAAAAAATGAGATCTGTATGTAGCCATATACATATGTGCTATATGAATGAACTGGTGAGAGTGCTATTTATAGGCAGTGAAAGAAGATTAATATTGATATTCTCCCTGTCATTCTTTGTATGTTTATTTTATAAATTTGTAATCTTAGAATACTCAGATTATATTACTCTTCAGCTAATTCTTGATTCTTATATTATTTCACTTGAGCACCAGCATTTAGTGGTTAATGAGACAAGTTGTCATGTTTACAGTGTGAAGATCATTTCTTTTCCTGATAATTGTTCAATAAGCAGTTTCAATCATGTGGAAAACCTTCAGTTCATTAGCAAACTGCTTCAGATGGTCAGTTATGGAGAGCGTTCACTTCCACATGCTGATTGAAGAGTGTTGAAGTATTGTTTATTACTTTAGGTGGAAAATAAACACTTTGGTCATTTAGCTGTCAATATTTAGAAAGAGGTTTGTAGACTAAGTATAGTCATGTACTTCTGAATACTGATCTACATGCAGTCTAAACCTGGCATGTGCTAACTTTCTACCATTTTGCATATAGGTGAGGAAGGAGGATGGGGAACTGTGCAGACCAAAAATTCAGCTTTCTAATCATTTCCATACCTCCCCCAGTGCTCATCAGTTCCCCTCGTTAAGCTACGTCACAGCTTTTTTACCTTTCCTTGCTTTTAAGTAGCTATCACACATATCAGTGATCCCTAAATTTAGAGAGACCTACATAACACAGGCATGCAGCACACAAATGACTTGTAGAAATAAGTAACAACCCATCCTAAATAAAATAATAGGGCTGACACCTGCAGCTTACTAGTACCAGAAATGATAACGCAACAGTGAGAGCTGGTTAGATTTTTTATTTCTATCTCAGATTATTTTTCTCTGAGGTTGACTTGAGTATTATAGATTTGAAGGTTATTAACATTATTCAACTTCTCCTTCTCCAAAAGTATGTATGCCCACGAGTTTTTAAAAATAAAAAGGACATAAATATAGGAAGATATATGAGCTCTAAGTAATTGTATGTCCAGAATGCTTTATGAGTGATTTGTTGGGTTTTTTTATACTGAAATATGCAGCTACTGTTATTTTTCTTGTGTTTTCTTTAGTTTAGATCCTTCTGTGTCCTTAAGTACTGTCACTGGTTATATAGACAAGATACTGTGGGTATTGAAATGAAAAAAAGTGGAAGTTCTTCAATTGCTATGAAAGTCTTAGAACACTGAACAGATTTAGGACAGACTTGGGGCATTAAATAGATGGCATTAAGAATTAAAGAATCAAACAGAATTGAAGTCTTTTCATTATTATTTGTGTTTACTGTATATTTAAATATCTTAATTCTTTCTCCCTATGTCTACTTGAAATAAGGGTTTCTCATTCTCGCCCCTGAAACCCTTGTCCAAATTTATTCTGGTCCCATGAGAAGTTAGGTCTTTGAATTTCCTGGATCATTTGGCCACTCTGAAAGACTTTAATTCAGCTTATTTTTCCTCTGAATGTTAAACACGTATGAGCAAATATAACACCTTTTTGAAAGCCTCAAACTGAAAGGTTAATCAAACAGTTTTCAAATAAGCATTTGAAGAGTGATCGTAAAAATTATTCATGAATGAATCATGTATAAGCACTGCAAAATTTATCTGGAAGGCAAAATCCTGGACATATGTGATGTAACCAAGGTCTAATCATAGAATATATTCTTTACTTGTTTAATTTGAAATATTCTGTATAATTTTCTAGAAAATAATATTAATTTAGATGGGCCAATCAAATACTTTCTTCATGAGACAGAATTATCTTTTTAAAAAAACTTTGAATTGCCATTTAGAGGAGTTAATTAATTATGAAAATGAAGCAAATCATGAAGTGGTATCATCAATTAGTGCTTTATATGCTGTTATACACCATTTATTTGCTACTAGAATTATAGCGATTAATTTCTACCTTTATAAAAATTATTTATTGATCTACATAATCTAATTTATGTAATTACAAACTTAGCCTAACTAATACATGAATATGATTGGCTCACTGTAAGAAACATATTTCTTTAATGTGGTGAAAAATCCATTAGACTTGCTTAGTCTCCACTCAGTATCACATTCTAGCTTTTGTTTTTCTTGAAGCACATTCTGACCTGCATTTATTACTCCTGTTGCCTAAGCAACAAACACTACACTCCTATTAACTATGATGTAGTACAGGTCTTATTAGCTTTTTTGAACAAGACAGTAGAAATCAAAAGGATGTAATTAATGTTGGTTGAAACATCATAGTGCATCCACGCATAGATGTACTTTGTTTAGAAAACATTTTCAGGAGTTAATTTTTTATTCAATCAAGAATCCAATAATGAATGTGAACTTAAATTGTTCATATAAGTAACTTAAAGTATTTATTGAAAGCTTTTAAAATTGTTTGCTAAATCTGTTCTACATACATACTTCCACATATAAACACAATATGTGAATAATTTATCACCATGGCTATAATTATCTTTAAGAAAGACTATTATCACCAATGTCTAAGACCCCAATTGTTTTTTGTTTTTTGGGGTTTTTTGAGATGAAGCCTTACTCTGTTACCCAGGTTAGAATGCAGTGGAGTGATCTTGGCTCACTGAAGCCTTCATCTTTCTATTTCAAGCGATTCTCTTGCCTCAGCCCCCCAAGTAGCTGGGATTACAGGTGTGCACCACCACACCCAGCTAACTTTTGTATTTTTAGTAGAGATGAGGTTTCACCACGTCGGCCAGGCTGGTCTAGAACTCCTGACCTCAAACGATCCACCCACTTTAACCACCCAAAGTACTGGGATTACAGGCGTGAGCTACCCATGCCTCCCCCTATAATTGTTTTTAAATATTTTGTCAATTATTGCCCCTCCTTCAGACTAATATTTACCCTTGATTTTACAGATGTTTGAATTTTTTCCCCATATCTTAAGGTCCAAATTTTAAACTTTTCCTTTATGTATTTCATTTTGGTTTTCATTTTGGTTTGTAGAATAGTTGTGCACACAGTTTAGATCCTTCTGTGTCCTTAAAAATGTAAAATAAGTAGAAATTGGTACAATCAAAGAATAGTTATAAAGGTACATCATGTTACCTGAGACTTTAGGAAAGTCATATCTATGTTTAAACCAAAAGCCCTTCACAACAGAATCTTTTGTCTTAAAATCTGCCCAGATCCCACCCTTCTTGTTTATCCCCTCAGAAGTCAAATATTACCACCTCCCTCCTGGTTGGCAAAGCCTACCTGATACTCACCTCTGGGAATGCTGCCATGCCCTCTGACATTTCACTCACCTCCCCTGAATTTGTAACATACAGAATGTGTCTAAGTTTCCACATTTTTTTTTTCACCACGGAGCTTAGGTATAAAGTGATTACTATGCAAAAATGCACATGCTCATTTACTTCCTCATTATATTTGTCTCTACCATCGCATGTGTTTTTCAAAGTCTGATGACTGATTCCTAAATTTTAAATTCCAAATGATCTATTCTTATCTTAATAACTTTGTTCATCTGTACTCTCTACCTACTCCTCCTGGACAGACATTTCCTTTCCTTCCCCTCTGTCTTTTATCCTCAAGGGTATAACTCAATTCCTGCTTAGTTCAGGTAGCTTTCCTTAATGACTGCAGTCCAGAACAGCCTCTTTTTTCCTGAACTCACGCAGTGGTTATGTTTGATATGAAAAAAATATATTTGGCATGCCATTATTCTCTCTCTAGAAATAGGAGTTAAGTTTTCACTTGTATGTATCTTGTCTTCCCAATTAGACTGGAAGCTTCTCAAGTCCAAGTTCTGTGTATTCAGTTTCCTTGCCTTCCTCACAACTCCCAGCATAATGCTGTGTGCATAGAAATCAGCCTGTAAAAACCGAAAGCACGACAGACTGTTGTAGGTGGACCTCCAGTCTCGTTTTAAAACTGGAAGCCTTATTCTGCCAATGGGAACATGGAACATTAGTACCTTCACTCATTCATGCAACAAACACTCCTTAGACATCATTTATGTGCCAGGGACAGTGTTAAGTACTAGGGATGTAACAGTGAATAAGGCATGACCCTTACCCTCAAGGAGAGTACAGTATTTCCCTCAGACCTGTATTAGTTGCATGCACATCACACACATACACGTTTCTTCATGCACACGTAGGTGCACACACACCTCACCACAGGGATCTTGCCCCTCATTCTTCACATAATCACCATCACTCAACATATGAATTTACTAGCAATTGGTTTGTCAGCAACAAATTACAGTCGATAATAGAAGAGGTAAAGTCTGTCATAACATGAAATAAAGGAAGATGAAGATGCTGATGATATCAAAACATTGGCAGTGTTATGGTAGATTCATAGTCTGAAGACTGTATTAAGGAGTTTATACTACTTGGAGGAGGACTGAATCATAACCTCACCATGATAACTAGCTGACAGTTATATTTGTAAACTCTAATCAAAATAGGAAAGAATGAAATCATTACCGACTCATTTTTTAAAGCATCTCCTGTGTTTCTAGCAATTGCCATCTAGGTTAACTTGGAATGCTTTGACCCTTATTAAAATGTTAAAATGCAGCCTTTACAGAATAAGAAGTAACAGTAATACTGATAGCCCTACATGAATTGGCATTTCTGTACACTTGGGTGGACAGCATTCATAAAGGACTTGCTGAAGGTCAACGTGAGCAGTGCCTATTAGACACTGCAGTGGAGCCACAGAGCTCTTGGGGTCATCCATTTGAACAAAATATTTGCACAAGCTAGAGCTTATACATATTTAATTAAAACTTTTTTCCCA